TTTTGGGCCTCAACACATATCGATTTACTTGTCTACCAGCTTCTCCTTGATATAATGCATATTCACTTCAACATGCTTAGTTTTGTCATGTTGAGCTAGATTATTTACTACCTCTCTCACAGCTTGGTTCTCACAATAAAGCTCCATGACTTTTTTTGGTGGAAAATCAATTTCATATAGGATTATCTTTAGCCAAAGAAGCTCACAAACTCCATGTGCTATGCCCCTGTATTCTGCCTCAGCTAAAGATCGGGCCACTACATTCTGCTTCTTACTTTGTCATGTAACCAAATTACCTCCAATGAAAGTGAAGTAACCTGATGTAGAACATCTATGTGTTATATTGTCTACCCAATCTTCATCCGTATAACCGTTGACATTCAAATGTCCTAGTTTTTTGAATATCAAGCCTCGGCCTAGAGCTTTCTTCAAATAACTCAAAATCCTCATAACTGCCGCTAAGTGATGCTCACTAGGAGAATGCGTGAACTGGCTAACAACACTAACTTCATATGCGATATATGGTCTAGTGTGCAAAAGATAAATTATTTTTCCCACTAACCTCTAATATCTCTCCTTGTTGGTTAACACTTGATTAAGATAGATTGCTAGGTGATGATTTCGACTGGTGCACACCTTAACATACCAGTTTATGTCAACAAGTCTAGAACATACTTCACTTGAGATAAACAAATACTAGTAGCATAACGAGTTACTTCGATTCCCAGAAAATACTTCAAAGGCCTCAAGTCCTTCATCTCAAACTCTAAGGCTAAGTACTTCTATAATTTAACCATTTCAACAACATCATCACCAGTAACTACCATACCATCGACATAGATTATCAGTAAAGTAATCTTACCATCTCTACTTTTGATAAATAGGGTATGATCCGAGTTACCTTGATGATATCCATACTTCTTCATTGCTTCAGTGAACCATCCAAATCATGCTCACAGAGACTACTTCAATCCATAAAGGGCCTTTCGAAGCCTACACATATTCCCAATATTATTAGACAACCCATAACTAGGTGGCATGTCCATGTACACTTCTTCTTCTAGATCTTCATGCAGAAAGGCATTCTTCACATAGAATTGCTTGAGAGGCCAATCAAAATTAGTTGTTAAGGACAATAGAACTCACACCGTATTTATTTTTTCCACCGATGCAAATGTATCCTGATAATCAACTCCATACATCTGCTTATACCATTTGGCCACAAGTCTTGCTTTATATATGTCTATTGTGTCATCAACTTTTTTGCTTAATTCTGGGCACCCATCGACATCCAACAGGTTTCTGTCCTTCAGGTTGTAAAACTATCTCCCATGTTCCATTCTTCTATAAGGCCTCTATCTCCACATTCATTGCTTTCACCCATTTTGGGTCTTACAAGTCTTCTTCCAATCGATTAGGAATATAATTCCTTTCACCTGATTGACAAATGTTTTAGCTTGAGGAGACAATCTGTGTGTGGAGACATAATCAGCAATGACATATTTCACCTTGTCTTCTGGTGAGAATCTGTCAAGTAGTATTCCCATATTTGCTCGTGCATGTAATTCTTTTCATAATTTCAACAATATTTTGAGAAGCATTGGGATCTGAAGGACTTACCTCAAGGATGTTCAATTGAACATGAGCAGGTATGTTCGAGAAGAGGGTTGTTGTTGTCCAGTTTGGTTGGGCTGTTCGGCTCAGCTCGGCTAGATTAGTCAGCAGCTACTTGGCTCGGCTCGGCTAGACTGGTCAGCAGCTGCTTAGCTAGGCTCGGGTTCAAACGAACTATTTTGTGCTTCTTTCCCCCATATTTCTATCTTAAACCAATTATGTGCTTCCTTTACTGTATTCTCCCCCTGTAAGACATGATTGGGCATGTTTGATAGAAAAAAAAACATATTGTTCTCCACAAACGTAACATTCATGGTAACATAAAAGGGGCGATTGGAGGGATGATAACATCGGTAACTCTTTTGTTGAGGTGCAAAACCCACAAAGACACAGCGAAAGGCACATGGATCCAACTTGATCCAGTGAGATTTATTGAGATGGACATACACCACACAACAAAAAATGGGCGAAGTGAGATTAAAATGGGAACAAACAGGAACATGAGGAGAGTTTGGGCAATCTCAAGACTATATATCGCGATAGTCAATATATCGCAATATTATCGATCTTATCACGATATGAACTTTCAAAAATGAAATAATTCACTTAAACTCATGCACAAAGGGGTTCAAACTCCTCCTCCTTCCAAGTTCTGGAGCCACTTAACCACCATGCTAGTCATCACTTTGTGATTATTACTGGAATCCCGTATTTATAACTCTTGCGAGTTGTTTCTCAAAATAGAAATTAACATAATTACTTATTGTTTTATATTGTTGATTAATTAGTTAATTTAATTTATTTCTTTCCTATTTAATCTATTTAATGTTATTGATTATTTTATTATTCATTATAAGTACTTACATTACCTTCAAATTGATGCTTAATTACTTAAATCTCTATAATCATTTTATTTATTTCTTATTTAATAGGATAAATTTATTTATGTTCTTACTTAATTTTCAATCTTCACTATTATTTTTTAAGCATGGTAAGATGCCTAATTTTCATGACAAATCAAGTTGGTTTACATCTTTAATTATTTTTCAATTTTTAATAAATAATAAATATAAGAACGTGTACCATGTCTAGTGAATAACGTGAAATAAGATTACTCATGTATCTTACCATGCAATTTATAAAATATAAAATATTGTAGTAAAAACGATAAATAAATTACTATAGGGTATTTAATTTTCTTTCATTAATTACTCCAAATTTTCTAAGTCACAGAGTTTGTCAACTCACAATATAATCAACATAAATCACTCAAACTCACTATGCAATACATTTCCTTTCAATTTTTTGTGTCAAAATAATTGGTGATTGACTAAATAAACTTCTAAAGTTTCATTAAAAATTTCCATGTGGTTTTTATCTAATTTTTATCGTTATATATATTTTAATCGATATTTCCGTATTTTTGAATCACCAATATTTTTTAAACCCTCAATATTTAAGATCTTACTTACCAGTAAATAATAGAGTGAAAAGCCTTGGAAAAAAATAGAAAGAAAAAAAGATGAGTAGCCGCATTTGCTTTTGTATCCAATTGGGACTTCTTAATGTTGTTTGGGTGGTGGGCCTTACTATTGGCCCATATAGAAGGCCCATTTTAATTCTCTATACGCTCTCTTCTAAAGTCAAACCCTCTTTCTATGAGGAGTTGTGTGGTTGTGCTTTTCTTTTCTCATCAACAAAAGAGAAAAAAAAACTAAAAAAAAAGGGTAAAAAGGCATGGCCAAGTGGCAATGCTTGGTAAAGCAAGAGGGTGTGTGAGCTTCTTGGCTCTAGAATGCAGCAAGAGTAATGCTACACTTACCACATTATTATCTCACATTTCTATACCACATGATGTGGCATGTCCATATTATACGTCATATCAATTAAATAAATGAAGTGTATTTTAATAAATAAAATTAGAAAAACAGAAACTAGTATTTTACATGATGTGGTAAAGACATAACCTAACTTTCCATTTAAATTTGCAAAGGAAAAAACCATACTAGGACAATCAAATGATATTCAACTATGGATAATAATAGTTATACTAGTCAGACAATATTCTACATGAACTCATAAGCGGCATTCATACTCACCTTAAAATAAGCTTATGCCAATCTCGAAATCCTGCATTGATCAGATTCTCAATAGTAGCCTTTCTTTACCCTTCACTGCGCCCAGTGAGCAAGAATACCTTAATTCCCAAACCCAAGACCTCTTCGTGGAGTTTCAAGCTGGACTTTATAGCGGGTGCCATGGCCTTCTCAACCCATCTATCAAACTCCAGATGATCAAAAACCTCCAAAATTCCCAACATGATTCTATTTATGTTAATTTTAGAAAACATTCTAGTCAATCAATGTCAAAATTCCACGCATCTTTACCAAATTACTATATTTTTGTTTTCCTCTACACTATTCCATAAACCCAAAGAAAATTCTCAAAGGAAGTTCAAGAATCATACCCATAACCATGGTCAGCATAATACGGAAGATTGGAAGGCAGAGTGGCATCAATGTCAAAAATCCACGCATCTTTCCCATCACCACTCAATTCAACAGCCTTGGCATAAACTCCAGCCTCCTTAGACACCCTTTCGAGATCAAACCCATAAGCCCGACCCGTCACTTATACTCTGCACATTCCTGTGGGATTGTTTTCCAGGGGTTGATGTTGTTAGCCTCCGCAGTGCAATTTAAACTCTTCCTCTAATTCACTGAAATGGGTCTCAGTGTTTTCAGGGTATTCGATGATCAAAGGCCTCGGCAGGAGGTGGGAAGTGAAAGTTTCCTGAGAAAACGCGAGGGAAAGTAAAGGAAAAAGAAGGAAAATCTTCAAGAAAGTCATGGTGGTTGGGAAAGAAAGAAAGACTCTGAATTTGGGGGAATCAAATTCTGCGTAGGGCGTGAATAAAGAAGATTTTGTGGGTATCTGAAAAATCAATGGGAATTTATGGAAGGGAATCTGTGGAAAAGTAAAATCTGAAGAAAAGCAAAACGGGGGGTCAAATAAGGAAATACGTTTCTTGGTGTGGGAATGAGAAACCAATATATGAACAGTAACCTCTGTGTTTGGGTTTTGGGTTTTAAAGAGGAGAACTTGAAGAGAGTGGCGTGCGAGTGAAGTAATTACAGAGAGAGAGAGAGAGAGAGAGAGAGAGAGAGAGAGAGAGAAGATTTGCAAGTTGGTTGGCTTGTTGTATAGTTGAAGAGCTTGCTTGGAGAGATGGAGGGAAGATGCATGGCGGCACGTATACTTATAGGACGACCTTCAGATGTTGTGGGAGTGTAGGACCCACCCTCGGTCTGCGAGTATAGACAAATCAACTCTTTTTCGTTAACTTCCTTCCTATTGCCATTGGGATATATTGACATTCCCTTTACCTACGCAGGAAATTGAGCAAGAAAAATTGGACGCACCTCCTCGCCATAAGGCCCCAAGACGATCCAAGTCCACAAGCCTGTGACATAAGTAAGTAGGCCCAAACCCAATACAAACAAGACCGAGTTGCCTTGTCCTGTGATGGGAAGCTTCTTAATGAGGGGAGGTGTGTTGAGGGAATCGTGTTGTTCAATAATAACTCTACAATTGACTATTAAGTTGATCGGATGAGTATTTAAGGACCCCTCAATATCATTCCTCATTGCAATGATCGGATGGGTCTATTTGTTTTAAATAAAAGCTTGCAATCCTTTGATCCAAAACTTATGTCTCATATAATGAATTATAGCATCCATTTGAAGCTGATAACTAATGTTTCTTTTTTGTCACCACAATATTCAATATTATGCCTTGAAGAGGACTCGAACCTCCATGCTCTTTAGCACGAGATTTTAAGTCTCCATGTCTACCACTTCACCACCAAGGCATCTTGAAAGTGAATCGTATTCCTTGAATATGATATCTATCTAGTGCGATGTATGGAATATATATGACAAAGGTGGAGTGTTAAGAGTATTTCTATTGATTAGTCATGTCATATAGGCCTGAGTCGGACATCCAATCTCTTCCCTCTTACTAATTGGAATCAAAGAATTAGTAGATCTGTTTAGCCCAAAATGGGAATGGGCTAGGGTTATGAACTTATAATCTATAATTTGATGATCAAGTCGATTCCATGATTATAAGTTCATTTCATACTAGACCAGATCGGAATAGGGTTATATACATTCTAATTATGAGAAGGGGTCATTTGAGCGTATCTAAATAGGTACTATGTTTACATATGGATCCCTACGTCATTACATTCCATTTAGGATTAGGAATAGGCGTAATCGGACTTGCTTTTTACATATCTCGTGTTATTTGGGATGAGACCCTATTCACCTCCTTGGGCTTCTATTGAATCGAGAAATCGGTTTGATTGTCCATCTCTTTGATATAATAATATATTTGATAATATTATATATATGTATATATAATATATATATAAGGCATCCTCCGAATACTCCTATTTTTTTTCTCTGTAAGTATCATGAGGTGTCTGGGCCAGCTTATGCCCACCTCGACTAATCATCACTTCCGAAACTAAGCCAGCTTTCTCTTTTAGTCTATATAAATATGATAATTTGCTTAGTTGCTTCATCTGATCTGATGCATGTACTATGTGGAAAAGAATGCAATTTATATGATGGGAAAGATACTTAACAAATTCAGAGTGCAAGAACTAACATAACATAGCAAAAGCATTTCAAGGATAATGAAAAAAAGAGCGACATACCCCATCTAAATGGAACGAACGACCACATATCTTGATAATTGGTAATTCACAACCAACGCATAATTACATAAGCTAAAACCATCAAGACTAGCAATTGGTCTGCAAATTCTCAAGGCGAAATTAATTTTATAAATAATTGAAAAATTAACGGAGCTGCTTTTGATAATTATACAAAGGTTTTATTGTGGTCGTGTTTTACAAGTCTTTATGATTTGTTGTAGAATGAAAATTTTCTAATTTTCTTCATGGAAACTCGCACATGACTACATTGATTCTTATATGGATGTCTCGGATTTTGGTTTCTCGCCCTTCAATGAAGTAAACATGAAATTACCAGAGAACATAGCTTCTTTATCTGCACAATCAAATTGCACACCGTTGTCAGACTGAACTTGTAGGCATTATATATCTGGTGAAGAGATTGGAAGTTTATGTGCAATCTTGAACTTGATAGGAACTCATTAAATTATCACAAATACCAAATTCCCAACAGGAAACAGAAAGAACAAGCAATGAATACCTGTCAAGGACAGGCAACTAACTTCCCGGCGAATATATCTTGCCATTGCCTGCATATACAAAAACATTCATTGCAATTGTTCGCATCATATAGATCTAAAAACTTAAAAGACATAAGAAAGTTAACCACTACAACCCCTACTCCCTCAAAAATTAAAAACCAGAGAGAATTTTGATTAAAAATGCAGGTAAATGAGGCAACATCTTATAGAGAGAACTAATCTACAGACATGAAGCTGGGATCATATATGGCATTTGTGTCCATGGGCTAACTCAAATATTACACATTTTGCTCACTTATCACCGGCCAATATATTCACTTTTTCTTCAGTGTAGCGGAGAGTACTTATAAAGTCAGGGTGGAGGTGTCGTGGCTTAGCTACAAAAGCAACAGTTCTAGCAACCCCGAGAAAAGAACACTTCTAGTAATTCCAAACCTGGAAAACTACACATTCTCCAGTGTATCAACCACAAAGTGAAATGTAATTAGATAACACAAGATCAAGGATGAGAACATGCCTGGACTGCTCGTGATGCATCACCATTTGGTTGTGATGAACCATCATCAGAAAAGACATTCCTGCAAAGCAGGTACAGATGGTTAATACATATTTCCATGTTCAAATGGTTGAGAATATTTATGTTGGGGTTAGTATGGGAACACCATCCAATGACATAGAATATTACCAAGGGCAGGGGAACTATAGACCAAGCTTGGGAAAGATTACCTCCAAATCACATTTTGCAGCTCATCCTGCCTAGCCTCCGGAAGCACGGCAGCATCATAAGCAACAATGTTCCCGTAGAATATCTTCTCCAAATCCTTCATCCATTTAGTCAGTAATAAGTTGACCTGAGATTTCAAGGGTAAATCAATTAGCATGCATAACTGTAAATCCTATGCTATAATATGCTGCATCAAAAACAACCTAATATGTTGTCTGAGCTGAGTTATTAGGGAACTTCAATATGCATAACGTGAAAGATGTTACATGGAATTGGACATTGCAGCTCCTAAAATAGTGGACAACAGGACATAGCTATACATGAATGTTTTTGGGAATTGAACAGACTAAGCAAAGCATCTATTTTGGTTTTAGTGTGCATGAAAAAAAATAAATTAAATTAAAATTTAAATAATAATAATAATAATAATAATAATAATAATAAACCCCATATACAAGGTGAAAGAAACAATAGCATTATCAAGTGCACCAAAATGTCGATAGACCAACTTCATAACACGGAAACAGTCCTATAAATCATGGAAAGTCTAAGCAACCTCATGCTTAATCGTAAGCCCCTTAAAATTACAAATAGTAAAGCAACCATGTTCTCATAACCTCTTACACCAAAAGCACAGCAGTTAAAACCTAAGAAACAGATTCATTCTGAAAAATTCCCTGTGTTTGTTGAACCATACTAAACAAATAACTTAAAATTCTTTTTAAAAACAGTTGATGACTTCCAATTTGATTTATACTTGTTATCTGAAAATAACATTAACAAGAAGCAACTAAACTGTCAGTAAGCATTAAGTTCAAAGCGGATTATGTAGCTTAACTTAAGAGAACTGATCACATACCCCAGCCTTAGATACTCTAAGTTCCACATCGTGATTGTAAGTCTCATATATGTATTGCCCAAATTCAACTCCTTCCTTTCCGTCTTCTTTCAACCGGTGTAAGCAAAGCCACATATGAAGTACAAGTAGAGAGAATGTTGTCTTAAAGGTTTTCTCCAAGTTGAATACTGCATATTTTGTGAGAAAAGTTTAGCTCGCCATTAACCTTGCTTTAAAAACATTGCCAATTATCCTCATATCTACAAGATTATTAAAGAAAATACAGAGGAAAGAAGAGAGAAAATTTGACCTTCGTAAATGGCAGGTTTATCAACTTGTGAAATGATTCGCTTATATACCACATTTGCCCCTCGAATGGACGTGCTTTGTTTGCTATAAAACAGCATCAGCCTAAGAATTGCATGTTTAAATCCCGCATATTGTGGCTCTTCAATTCTTAATGGGGAGTCCGGGGCCAAAGCCAATGAGCATGGCTTAGACCAAAACAGTTTGTCCAGATTTACCTGTTGAGCATTGATACACTAAGTCTCAGCAATGAAATAATTCTAGAAGCTTCAGCTTGACGAAGGCCAACAACACACAGACACACAAATACATTATCACAAGAATGATTCATGGCTAATGATTTAATTTCCAGATAATCTATGTCCATTAACAAGTAAATCATCAAACTTAATTTAAACTACAACCAACTATTACCTAAATTAGCAAGTTCGATTTCCAAACACAGACACAACTGAGTACCTTACACACATAAATGCAGATGGGTAGCTAAAAAACGTACCACTGGCTCACTAGGGAGAGGTTTTTCCACATCTGGAGCCACAGCTGCAGCAGCCCTGCCATAGCTTTGGCGAGAAATGACATAAAATTCATTTTTGAGATTCAAGTTATGATGTGAACCCAACCTTGAGAGCTGAGTAACAGCTCTGCTCCATCTTGGCAACATTTTAAATTCTCTATTCAAATTCAAAGAGACATTTCTTTAAATTCATACATGAGAATCATACAACATCATTATATAAACAATTGTCATAAGAACGTTGATCAAACTTAACAGTAAAGGCTTGAACCAAATACCAAGAAATCTAGAATCGTGTCTTTTCTCATTTTCAATTATCTTCTCATCAACCAAACAAAATATAAATACAAATGAGTATGAGAATCAGTTCACAATGAAATATGACTTAGGCCCGTATCAGATACGCAGTCGAATATGCTCCTAGGTTCTTGACACAAGTATCAAACATTTCGGATACGTTTCTGGTCAATCTTGAAGCCAGAAGCCAAAGAGAGGAGAAGGAAAGATTCGGAAAGAGAGATGAGAGGAGAGGAGGAAGAAGAAGAAAAGATAAGACGTACGCTGGCCGCTGCGTGTGAGGAGGGAGAGAGAGACGAAGGAGGAGAAGAGAGATGGTGGAAAAAGAAAAAGGAGCGGCCCAAGCTCGAGGCTGGCATTTTGTACCCCAACATCGCAAAACCGACCGAGTTGTTACCGCAAAGAAGCCGACATGTTACGAAAGCAGACCAGGATCTGCGGTTTGTTATACCGACCGCAATCTAAGGTTGCGGATGCGGTTCCACAAATCCAAAATTGCGGTATACCGCACCAACTGCAATATATTTAATATTTATTTAAATAAACATTTATGGTACCTAAACAAAGAGGAGAGCGAGAAAGAGATGCAGAGACGGCGTAGAGCTTTCTCACTTCAATCTCGAAAACTCAACGCGAAGCTATCTCTCCTCTCCTTGTCTCTGATATCTCATCGACCTCTCACTGCTCTCTGTCTCAGTCTCTCACTATGCTCCTCTCCGCTGCTCTCACCGCCACCTCTGTTTGAACTTTCTCTGTGTTTCGAGTGGAAAGACCCTAATCTAATTGTCAAAAGTTCAAAACAGATTTTCAAGAAATATTGCACCGATAAAAAAGATGAGTTTAATAAAGCAAAAAAAACTTGAGAAGTGGGAGGCAGGGACACGTGAAAGAAAAGGAGAGGTAAGATAGGTGCTGGTCCTTTAAGGAAAATAATATTGTATATTAATCTAAAATGTAAATGAAAAGAAAAGAAAACAATATCAGACAATATATATATATATGTGTAAAAAGTAAAAGGCATAAAACATTTAAAATACCATAAAAAGGTATATATATGTAAAAAGTAAAAGGCATAAAACATTTAAAATACTATAAAATACTCTTGATTAATACAAATATTAAAAATTAAAATTATTAATTAAATGAGGATACTATGGTATTTCACACTTTTTCATATTAAAAAAATTCAAATTAAAATAAAATTTAGATAATGGATCCTACACAACTACTCATTATCTTTTTTAATTCTAATAATATTTTTTTTTTTTTTTTTTATTTAACCACCTGCATGCGCAAAAGCGCTTACGGAAAGGCTAGTATATATGATATATTTTCTTATTCTTTCTCTCTACTTGTTCGACTTTTCTTCTTCTCTCTCTTCAATCTGCGATTTCTTTTCTTCATTCTCTCTATTTCATCTCTCTCCCTCTTCTCTTTCTCTGTCGATTTCTCCTCTTCTCTCCCTCTTTTTCTATCAATCGATGGATACCACATTTTTGCAGACTCCAACCGGAGTTGTGGTTCTACCGAATCACAGTTAATCACAACTTTGCAACCGGCAGCGGTCTGTTATGCAATACCGCATTGTCTCGAGCGCTTTGTGGTTTGTCGGAAAAATTGCGGTTTTCGAACCGCATCCACCCCTACTCATTATATAAGAAGTTATACTCAAAATCAGAAAAAGGGGATGAGTAAGCTTGGCGGATCTAGGATTTTAATCTCAAGGGCCAAACGTATAAAACTTCCAAAATATTTGTACCTCAAGACTTCATTATCAATACAGGAAAAACCATCTTCTCTCACCTACTTCATGAAGAACAAGTGACGGATCCAAGATTTTAATGCCAAGGGGTCAACGTGTAAACTTCCCAAAAAAAAAATTTACCTTGAGACTTCATTATCAATACATGAAAAAACATATGTAACCTACTTCATAAAGAACTAACCATAATTACTGAGATAAGATTAAATGATAATCAACTTAGCTATTTAACTGACACCAAAACTATGAGAAATGGATTGCAACAAGGTTCCAATGCCCTATATATAGAACTTGTGAAATGGGAGATGCTATATAATAGTACTCTAGCCTAGCCTTATTGTTGTGTACAATTATAAACGGGCAGTGTTATAGAGAGGTTGCATGAGTTGCCACATGCCCATGATTGCATAAAATACATCATGCAATTGGATGTTTCCAATATCAGCATCATCATAAATACATAACATAAAATAACAATGCCTTAATTAATTTTTTTTTTTTTTTTTTTTTTTTTTTTTTGTGCTATTAGAATAACAATAACATAAACCCTTAACTTTTTATATCTCCATATTAGGTTTGGAGGGTTGTAGATTGTACTGGGCAATGTCATGGTGCTCTGCTACTCTCTATGCACTGCCCTACTCTAGAAAAACAAAAAATAAGATAAAGCCCAGACCCCAAATTAAAAATCCTCGTATATCTCTCTCTGTACGTTCTTCTACTCCCCATTTCATCAATATATCAACCCCCAAGACAATCCCATCTAACAAGCAAACTGAGAGGGCCAGAGAGAAACACATAACCCACAAAAGCATCTAAGAAGAAAGCTGGAGTCCTGCACACAAAGAAGCTCATATGCTCCTTGGGGCATTTCGTCAAATAGTTAGTGTGCATCCGGGGTCGCCCACCAACCTTCCACGAGGTCAACATCTAAGTTTCCGTGGATATTTTATGATGTTCACCTTAATGGGTCAGCAATGCGAGCTATTCTTATACTTTGACACATATACCAACATAAAACACTAACTCTAAAACTAGCCTTCATGCATACGCCATTGAGGAAAAACCTTATTTTGGAGCTTAGGTATAAATGTTACGCACATAAAGCTTAGCACATTCATTTCAGCAAACAATAACAACACATGCATTACACACAGTTCATGTGAAAGAAATTAACTGGAAGAGAATCGGATCAAATGATCAAACCCCGGGTAAAACTCATGTCATATAATCTACAGAAAATCAGCAAAGAAAGATTAAGGAGAAAATGTAGAGAGAAAGGGAGAGGATGCTTTGCCTTTACCTTCTCGCAGAGTGGTAAACGTAGGACTGAGGAACCCCGTTCGTGAATCTAGCAAACGTAGCTCAAAAAAAGATGGACGAATTCATGACCCAAAAACCTCAGAAAATGATGGACGACGCGTGATAAATCTAACAACAATGGCATCGTAGGTGTGGAAGTATGTCAAACCCCAAGTATTTTCTTTTCTTTTTTTCTTTTTCATTCGATTTTTTTTTTCTTTGAATATGAAATATATAAAGAGGCCCATATTGATAAAGATGGGTATTAAATTTGACGGAATAAGCCCCTTGGGGCCAATCATCAATAAGATGATGGCCTATTATCCTCATACTTCATTAAAAATAAAAATAATAAAAATAAGATGATGGCCTAATTATCGCTTCTTCTATTATCAAGAAAAAGAAAAAAAAACAATAACATTTTCTATCGTTGATACAAACACTATTCTAGTTTAATCTAATCTAAATTGTAGGGATGGGAATTCAAACTTACTTGTATGTACAGCACATCCGCTCTATCCAAATTGGCTAAGTATTGCATTTTTTTAACGCTACACAATCCCTTTACAGCAAAATAATTATATATGTATATGACAAATCGTAATCACACTTTACTACATAACTTATAGCTGTTGGATTTATGAGTATTTTAGAGATAAGACTTTGATTGCACATTCATGTTTTCTAACTGATTTTGCTTTAAAATTTTACCACTTTCATGTGCGAGAGAATCGAAAAACTACATGAAAGTTGAACTATAAAATTAAAGGCCCAACCTGAGGGTTGCACATGCGCCTATATAAATACAACGCCACCCTATATAATGGAATTATTCTAGGATCTAAATTTAAAAAACAAAAACTAAGGTTGGCATTTGGTTACCGTCCAACCATTTTATCAATTAAAATGATCAAAACCTAATGACCTCGTGGAAGGAGTTTCCCGTTGGGGGAATAATATGATTGGGTTGCAATGAATTTGGGGTATGGAACTTCCATTTGAATTTTTTGGGCTTTTTACCCCAACACTAAGATATACTTTTATGCCCTCATCTCAGGGACCCGCAAGAGAGAAAGAGAATTGTGGACCCCACTAAAGATCACTACAGTCTACACCTGACCTCTGACTCTTCTTTCCTTTTTTTTTCCTCACAATCGGCCCACTGAAAATTACACCAACTCGTTTCCTCTCCTCTCATGATAACCTAGTCTACTAGTCAACACTGCTTTTATTACTCTTTTTATTTATTTATTAATTTTTTTTTTATCTCTCTCTGTGTTTTTAGCAGGAAAAAAAGGAAGAATAATAATGGATGGAGTGGTGATGGTTGGCAAGTTTAAGTAGTTGCGATTAATGAAGAAAGTCCATTAATATTTTAATTTGACAATGCTTGTTTTATTAGATTTTTTGTTAACAAAGTGCATAGTGCTTGTATTCTCCTTTACTCATGTATCTTCCTTTCATATTCCCCGTTTACATTTCTCTTTTCTCCTTCCCCATTCACGCCTCAATTTCTCCATCTTCTCGCTGGGTGTTTCCTGTTTGGGGAAAAACCTTGCTAGGTTGTGGTGAAGTTGGAGTATTGGACGCAAGTTTTGTACAAATGGATATTGTACAAATGAGGGACGCTTTGGACGCAAGTTTTGGGCAATCCTTTGACCGCTATGGATGTAAGTTTTTGGGGCCGTACGAATGAAGGACGTGCAACCCTATATTATATATATAGTGCATATTATTATTAACATAGTATACATAAATAAAAGAATACCACATTGAGAGACATGAC